TTTTAATTTAGTGATGATATTGGTACAAAGTGTTAATATTCTTCAAAGTACTGTCCATGAGCATCTACACATTTTTTCTACCGACTCTCCCATGCCTGGCACGCCCCCTCAAAGACCTCGATGGGAACCTCATTTAAAGCTGTTGTCACGGCCACTTGGATAGCCTGAATGCTTTCAAAACGGTGTCCTTTGAGTGCAGTTTTCATCCTCGGGAACAAAAAGAAGTAGGCCGGAGCTAGGTTGGGGCTGTAGGGTGGCTGCGGCAGCATTGCCACGTGGTTCTTCACCAGGAACTCACGGACGAGCTGAGATGTGTGGCTGGGCACATTGTCATGATGCAGCCGCCGGTTAGCGGCGATGTCTTTTCGCACGCGGATGACCATTTTCCTTAATCTTTCTAAAACATCCACGTAGTAGGGAGCATTGACGGTCTGTCCTTGGGGTAAAAACTCTTTGTGGACCACACCCTTGGCGTCGAAAAAGACGATGAGCATTGTTTTCACTTTGGATTTGCTCATCTTCGCCTTCTTCGGTTTCAGGGAAGCTGAGGTGTACCATTCAGCATTCTGGCACTCCCCGTAGGCTTGCTTAAGCAGTTTGTGAGTTTCGGCAGCTTTTTTGTTGAGCTTTGTGCAGAACTTGACCGCCCAATGTTGTTCGAAAGTATCCGCCATCACGAGCCGTGACGTGGTCACAAAACACAGGTGCACTAAATCAGCGATACTGATGCCTCCGATGCTCGAGCAGACTGAACTTGGCGCGCTGTGAAGCTAAATGCCTCCCCCCCCAACCCAACCAATTCCAGCGCACTCTGACCAGTAGGAACGCGGGAAAGAAATGTATTTCATGACTTTTGGGACACACCATGTATATAACCCTTATAAAACCTGCTGTACTTTATGGTAGTGAGAGCTGAACACTCACTAATTTGAATGAGGATAAAATGAAAATGTTTTAAAGAAACACACCTTGTATATAACCCTTATAAAACCTGCTGTACTTTATGGTAGTGAGAGCTGAACACTCACTAATTTGAATGAGGATAAAATGAAAATGTTTTAAAGAAACACACCTTGTATATAACCCTTATAAAACCTGCTGTACTTTATGGTAGTGAGAGCTGAACACTCACTAATTTGAATGAGGATAAAATGAAAATGTTTTAAAGAAACACACCTTGTATATAACCCTTATAAAACCTGCTGTACTTTATGGTAGTGAGAGCTGAACACTCACTAATTTGAATGAGGATAAAATGAAAATGTTTTAAAGAAACACACCTTGTATATAACCCTTATAAAACCTGCTGTACTTTATGGTAGTGAGAGCTGAACACTCACTAATTTGAATGAGGATAAAATGAAAATGTTTTAAAGAAACACACCTTGTATATAACCCTTATAAAACCTGCTGTACTTTATGGTAGTGAGAGCTGAACACTCACTAATTTGAATGAGGATAAAATGAAAATGTTTTAAAGAAAAATTCCATGGCCCAAGCTATGTAAATGGAGTATGGAGAATAAAATATGATGAGGAATTATATAAATTATTCAAAGAACTAAATATAGTGCAGTCAAAAACAAACAGACTGAAGTGGCTAGGGTATATCAGAAGGATGGATGAAAGTTTGCTCTGCAAGAAATTAACCTTCTCCCAGCTAGTAAGCAGCAGAAAGAAAGGAAGACCAAAATTAAGATGGCTGGATAATATATTGCATGACCTAAGAATTTTAGAAGTGACAGCTTGGTGGAAGAAGACACAAGACAGGAATAATTGGGAGGCTGTTACAAGGGAGGCCAACGCTCACAAAGGGGTGTAGCTCTGAAGGAGAAGGAGAACTGTCAGCTTCCTGCCTTATGTGATTTCACAACAGTCCGTTTTATCAATATCATGAATGGTATGGAACACAAACATCATATTTTCTTTCTGTATTGCTGTGGTTATCTTCTGTTAACTTTTCTGTGTCTCAAATATATGGCAGAGTCAAAGAAGTTGAATCGGCTACGCAAAGCATATCTGTAACCCAGTTCTTACGAATACTGAAGACATCTAGCATGGGAGATGTGTCAGACTTCTACTAAACATTACTGGAAGGACGTCTTGTTCCATTTTGACTTGTCAGGTAAGATGCATCTTCCTTGTTTGTTACTAGCATTTAGGTAAGAGGGTTCTACAGCATTCCAGTACTTCAGTGTTAATCAGTAATGAGAATTAATACTGAAGGGACATTAGTATGCAGTTCAGGCACTAACAACAATGGATTAAATACAGCCACAGCTCGCACAACATTCCAGATAAAAATCTTCACACGCACATACAGATATATATCAAAATCAGAAGACCTCATGATGTAGTTATAGTACATGTTACACCAACTAGTTAACTAACAGTTCATCTTTTTAGAAGCTAATGGGAAAATCACTTGTATGCGGTACAATCCAAAAGTTCCCGAAATTTGAATTTTGCGGGCAAATGGTTATAAGTACATCGAAATACCGCTAGGTGTCTCCCCACACACCCTTCTTGGATCAGTGTGGCAAGCGGCGTCGAAATGAGTGGTTGGGTTTATTATTGGTGAACGTATTTCCATTGTTGTGTTTCCATGAGTTTGCAGTTTTGTTTTAAACTTGGGAAAACCACTGCAGAAAAGCACCAAATGTTGAAGCAAGCTTTTGGTGACAACAGTTTAGGCCAGGCACAAACTTGTGACTGGTATAAGCATTTCAAAAATGGCCGAACATCGACTGATGACAACGATCATTCGGGACGGCCGTCAACTGGCACCAAACCAGAAAATGTTGCAAAAGTTAGGGATCTGATTCTGCAAGATCATAGACTGACCATCCAAGACCTCTGTAACACCTTGGGACTAAGTTATGGTACATGTCGACGAATTTTGTCAGAGGAACTGAACATGAGGAGGATTATCGTGAAGTTTGTGCCACAACTGCTGCAAAATGAACAGATGCAGCATCGCTTGGAAGTCTGCAGGGCACTTCAACAATAGCTTCAAGAAGATCCATACTTTCTTTCGAATGTCATCATTGGTGATGAAAGTTGGGTTTATGGCTACAACCCTGAAAGTAAGCAGCAATCATCGCAATGGAAGAACCCTTCTTCACCTTGGCCAAAAAAAGTTGACAAGTCAAGCACAACATTAAGTCCATGTTGATCTGTTTTTTTGATACTGACAGGATTTTTCATAAGGAATTTGTCCCTCCTGGTCAGACAGTCAATAAAGAGTTCTATCGCGATGTTCTAAGGCATATGAGGGAGGACATGAGGAGAAAACATCCAGAAGTGGCGCACAAACAACTGGGTACTCCACCATGACAACACACGACCGCATACAGCTTACATTGTGCAGGAATTTTTGGCTAAACACAAGATGGCAGTTGTTCCCCACCCATCGTACTCGCCAGACTTAACTCCATATGACTTCTTTCTCTTCCCCAAGATGAAAATCAAGTTGATGGGGCGAAGATTTGATACAGTTCAGGAAATTCAAGCAGAACTGCAGACGGTACTAAACACCTTAACAAAGAAAGACTTCCAGGATGCATTTCAAAAGTGGCAGAAGTGCTGGAATCAGTGTATGCACTCCGAAAGGGACTACTCTGAAGGTGATGGTGCAGAATAAGATCCAGGTTTCATGTAATAGTTTTTATTAATATATTTTGGGAACTTCAGGATTGCACCACATATACAGATTAAGTTCATTTTCCCACTAACTTCCAAAAAAGTTGAACCTTTAGCTCCTTACTTGGCATAACACAACCAAAAACTACATCATGAGGTGTGGTTCACTCAGCATGCCAGCAGCCATTTATGCTTTGTTCAACATTATCCTTGAACTGCATATAGGAAGCGTAGTATACATGAAGAAACATACCCTACTATTTTATATATGTATTTATTATTATTATTAGAGGGGGTGGGTTTCCCCATGCACTTAGACCAGTTATTGGTCCATTGTGCGTCCCCCTTTAATTTCTACTGTCACTATACCCTACCGGTACTGGTGCGTGCTATCAGCCCCGTTCAGCCAACGAGGTCGGCCCTCAGTACCTGATATTTACCCCATCTACCAGAGGCATTGGAAACTACTTGGGTGGGAAAATGTGTTGCCTAATTTTGCTCAGAGGTCTCTTGTAGACATGAGGATCTTTTACGTGCCGTAAATCTACGACACGGGACCCAAGGCTTAAAGTCCCTCATGGAGGAATTGTTCCCTCAATTTTTCCACCCTTAAAAATTCCACGACCTCCGCCGGGTTTGAACACGCATACCTTGAGTCATGAGGTGGGAACGTTACCCCTAGATTACGGAGGCCACTTTTTATATATGTAAGATGATGTATAAAAAACTCTTATACATAGAAGGTTAAAAATAAGCATTACTGCATTTTTAAAGTATAATGTAAGATGGTTCTCAACAGAATTTTTTAAGCATCTGAAATGTTCTAAAGCATGTACAACAGTTGGACATTAATCTTGAACTAATGTTAGTTTGTAACACAAAAACACACATTCCTGCAGATGACATTGAAATGTTGAAACAAGGTCAGTAAACAGCAAACACAAATGTCTTTTAATTCATGCTACAGAATAAATCATGATAAATAATTCTGTCTTAATGAATTTACTTGGATTTAAGACTTCCCCTAATTAAAACATCCATTGGACATGTTCCTCAGATATCTTGAAACAGTGTATTCAGTCACTTATTTTTAAAGCTGTCAAAACTATTTATTAACTACATAATTTATAAAGAAATACTTTAAAACCTGAATTAAGTTTTTCTCTAAGACAGGCAAATAATAATCATTCTGGGTATTCATTTTACTCAGGGTACCAAATTCCATCAGAACTTCTCACATCACTCCTGAAATACAACTACCACTTCAATAGGTGTACACATAACATTAACACACCTAGACTGCTGTGACAATCCTGAGCCTCTCTGGTATGCATGGTATCTGTCACAGTTTCCTTGGCTTGGATGAAAGGTAGGACTACTGCCTGCAGCAGCTTCAGTTCCATCCTGACTCCCAGCTGGTTCCATATACTGAAACAAAGCACACTTATGAACTCACTGTAATGTTTATGTCCTCGTCCAGGTGTTTTAACACAATCAGAGTAGTACAAAGTGAGGGTAAAAATTACCAAATTTACCTCTCTGATTATCCATGCATATGCATTTGGGAGTGGAGAGACAGCTCCATTCTTTCTTAACCTTGGAAACTATAGTCCATTCGCGGAGACAGTTAGCGTAAACAAAGCAAGCCCCACATCGCCACAGCTGACAGCAAGGAGTGGACAAAGCGCGCAGTTACTTCAGTGTACTCACTGCATTTGGACGCACGTTAACCTGCATTCAGACTGAAGAGTGAACTTCGGACACCCCTGCAACGGGACACACATCACATGATCGCTGCACGATTTCATTTATAGAGCAAAGGGGATACCGCGTGCATTTGTTTACGAGGACTCTCTAGTCTCCGCGAATGCACTATAGATGTAGGTGAGTGAGCACCTTCATGTCATGGCCAATTTACCACAGGGAAATGAAACCCCAGTGGGCCCCAGACTTCATCTAGACATGGCAGCAGAGAGGAAAATCTTTGTACCTACCAGGAATCAAACTCCAATTCTCTGGGCATCCAACTAATAGCCCAATCATTACACTGGCGAAGCTATCCTGGCCCCAGTAGCTGGTACCACAGGGGCCAACTACACAGCACAGTATAGTGTATATATAGAATTTGTCTGTCACAGCAGGTGGGGGGGGAGAGAGAGAGAGAGAGAGAGAGAGAGACAGACAGACAGTTGTAGGACACCCAGAGTCATGAGTCCTGTGGGACTTGGAACGAAGAATGAATGTGCTGGTGAGGGGACAGCACCAATTTATGAGAAACAGATTTAGGTGCTTTAAGTGTTGAGGCTACTTGATACTATCTTAATCACTGCATAGCAGTTACAGTTCTTGTGGTGTGAGGCAGATTTTGTTTCCAGCAGTGGAACTTTATGACACCTCCCATTGTTTCTACATCATTCCTAATACTGAAGGTTGTAGGAATGTATGGCCTAGTCAATAAAAATTATTTCAATCTAACTTTCCCATGGTGATATGTCATTTAACACTTTTCTTCTTCTTTTTTTTTAGAAACAAGTAAAGCACATCACATTCAGTTTCAATTTCAATTTTCCTGACCAAAGAGATATTCTGTGCTTACTGTGTGACTGTCCTAGTGAGAACACTGGTGAAGAATGTAACTATAATTCAAATACTAATGACAACTAAGGCTAACGTGAGATGCAAAGAAAGGTCTTTATAAGTGGTTCAATTTAAGGGTTTGGTTTGGTGGGGGGGACAACAAAGCAGTTATCATAACCGGAATTTCTGAATACACAAAAAATGTATTCAGATATTTATGGACCCTGAGAAGGGTAGTGATTTTCTCTCCCCATTAGTGTCTGGACCGATTCTGGGTAGAAACAAGCCACCTTTCCAATGAGAATTTGGAGCTTTCTCCAGAGGTAAAGTAGTCATGGCATGAAGATGACCACACACCTCCAACTAATACCAAAGATAAGAAAGAATGCACCTGTACTTTCCCTTCACAATGCATCTTACTTGTGTGGCACTAATTAAGTACAGGGATAACTTTACATTTGTGCAGAAGCGTAGAGAAACCTACAGTAAGTCCATAGAGGTAAACATTTGTCTCATAAATTTCCTATCCAAAATGGTCTAAAACAATATTATATTTAAGCATCCTGTTGCACTCTATACGATAAATGATATAAACTCCGTCTCAAGTGCAAACAATATATTTTGTGTCTTTGATCTTGCTTCCCCACACTACAGCGACGTGAGTGTTATACACCTGATGATGGCCGTCTGAGGCCGAAACATGTAGTGTGGGGAAGCAAGATCAAAGA